TCGAATAACTTGGATCAACGTCTTGCCAATTAATCTGCTGATTCATTACCAGAGTTGGACTGCAACTCAACAAAGCTTAGAGGACGATTTTACTTTTCAGATGCATTCCTACAATCCAGAACTGTTAGGAGAAGGAGTGTGTTTTTAAGATCCATATTCAGGTCAGTTCTCGGGTTGAGAGAAATATTGACATATACCAAGTTTGAATAGAATCGAGACTTTGTGGTGGAGGTACTAGGAGGTGTAGGCCGCTTTCTATCATTGGCGATGTGCGAAGTTTGAAGAGAATTGGATGCTTATTTCGCATTTTAACAGCGTTTTGGTTATTTGGTTATTTAAAATTTGTGAACCCCTTGTGGGGGATTTACCAGAAGAAGTGGGCCCATAACGACAATTTTTACACCAGATCTTGCGAAGGTAAAAATATTGGGATCATACTTATACTTATATCGTATTTTATGCAAGATATAATTATTCAAAATTATGATCCTTTGTGGAGGAGGTACCAGAAGCAGCGGATCGATATCTACTATCTTCACACCAGATCTTGTGTTAATAAAAATGTTAGGATTTGCTATATATGCGGAGAGTAGGATGCATATTTCGCATTTTAAGAGAGTTATAATTATTCACAATTTTTTCCGTTTGTGGGGGAGGAACTGGATGGATTTGGGCCGATATTGTCCATTTTCGCACCTAAAAAAGCACTGATACAAATATAAAGATTTGCAAAGTTTGCACAATATTGGAAGATTCTTTCTTGTTCTATACGGATCTTCTGTGGGGAAGGTGACAGAAGGACTGGACCGATATTGTCCCTCTCAGAAATCGATCTAGGTTTGATAATAATACTACGATGTACCAAGTTTTAACCAAATCGGATACTCCTTTGGAGAGATATCGTGCGCCCAGCCCGACAGACAGATGAAGGAACAACCCTAGATCGACTGCAAATGTCTTGAAATGGATTTGGTCCAAAGAGACCTAGAGTTAAAATTCGTTATTTCGAAGAGGCTTATTTTGGCCGTATCAAATGATATATACCCTCCGTAGGCTGAGGACACCAATCCCACGTGTATATCCCAGTATCTCACTAATAGTATTCTCGTAAAAATAGTTAAAGTTCTAGCGCTTCCTTGACCTTTAAATTAGCGAACATTAGGAGGTACCATCATATGGGGTACCGTTGTATGGCAGTACATACAGGGTGAGATGAAAAAACCGCAACCAACTTCAGACTGCTGTCACTTCTAAACCATTCGTCCGACAGCTGTTAAAATTATTCCAGTGACAGATATTGTTTTTAAGCGTAGAAAAGCATTTTGGTGAGCATTTTCCAGAAAAAAATTTATTCGAGATGGTATTTAAGCGTGATAGTGTGATTTCTTTATATTTGGCTGGAAATCCACAAGTGGCTATCGTTAGATCAATCCAGCATTTAAATGTGAATAAATCTTTTGTATCTTCTACCATCGCTTGTTACCGACACTGTGATACTGGTAGCGTAGCCCGACGTCAAGGAAGTGTATGGAAGAAAATAGCAACATCTTCAGAAAAGGGTTCGAAAAGTAACATTGCGACTTGATCGAAAACCGCACCGCAGTGGCCGAAGTATGGCTTGTGAGCTGAACATATCGCAATAATTCATTCGGCAAATATTGAAAAGCCATTGAAATTCCAAAAATTGCTAGAACTTACACCGCAACAAAAAGAAAATAGACTCCACAGACCTAAAGAGTTGCTTCGCTTGGCCGAAAGTAGTGAACTGCCGAATTTGGTTTTCTCCGATGAGGAAACATTCGTTGTCCAGCAGTTTGTAAACAAACAAAATTATCGTGTTTAATTGCCAAAGAGGTCAGCCAAAGAGGTGTGGTGTGGGCCGCCATAACAGCCGATGGTCGCTCTCCGCTCGTATTAATCGACCGTGGCATCAGGATAAATGCCGAATATTATCGTGTAAATATTCTGGAGGGCCTTGGATATTCCAACGGGACTCAGCACGCACGCGCCACCCAAGAATTGTTACAAAATAGGTTCCACGCTTCATTTCCAGCGCACAATGGCCACCAAAATCTCCAGATACCAATCCGTTGGACTATTGTGTCTGGAGTATTTTGGAAAGCAAGGTTGGCACTAAAAAATACTAAAGTGTCAATCACCTCAAGCAAGCGCTTCGCCGGGAATGGGCCAAAATACCGCAGAGCAACATTCGGGCAGCGTGTGACGGTTTCATTGGCCGTTTGAGGCCCATAATTCGTGCCAAATGTGGCCAATTCTAACAAATACCAAAACGTGGACCTATAATTACAATGATTCGCCACACGAACGGGGACCCATTATGACCTACAACTACCAATTTTCAGAAAAAATCGTGAAAAAATGTGTCAAAAATGATCAAAATACCGGATATCGGGAGGTACCGTTATATGGGGACTATACTAACGAGGACCTATACATATAATGTCTCGCCACACGAACTAGAATCCATTATTACCTACAACTAACAATTTTCAGACAAATCAGCAAAAAAATTTGGCAAAACCATCAAAATACCGAATATCGGGAGGTACCTTTATATGGGAGCTATACCAAACCGTGGACCTATACATGCAATGTCTCGCCATACGAACTGGAATCCGTTATGACCTATAAAATACCAATTTTCAGACAAATCCGTGAAAAAACCGAAACCGAAATCATGAAAATACCGAATATCGGGAGGTACCGTTATATTGGGACTATACCAAAACGTGGACCGATATATCTCATTTTCAATACCAACCATCCTAGACACAATACAAATTGCTCTGCTAAATTTTGGCGCTCTACGTCAAATGATGTGGGCTGCATCGTGATTTCAACAGACAGACGGACAGACAGACAGACGGAATTTTCTGCTGATTATGAATATATGTACTTTATGGGGTCTACGACGAATATTTAAGGATGTTACAAACGGAATGACAAAGGTGGAGGGTATTAAAATTATGGCGTTTGACTTTGTATATGTGAGCTATATCCAAATCTGGCCGATCTCGATAAAATTCGGCAGAGATATTTCTGAGCTGTATCTAATGTCTGGCACCAAATATAATGGTTGTGAAGTGCAAATTACGATTGTCGGCGATATATGTATGGGAGCTATAGCTATATTTGAACCCATTTTCATCAAATTTTAGATACTGGGTAAAATTTGATGGGATGTACCGAAATCTATTCTATTTGGAGGAATAATACACATATGGTGCACAATAAAATTGAAATCGGACGAAAATATATATGGGAGCTAAATCTGGGCCGATATTCACCAAAATCGCCAGACATACTTCAGGACAGAAACGAACGACACTATATATGGGAGCTATATCCAAATCTTATCCGATTACCACCAATTTCAATAGCGTTTGTCCTTGGGCCAAGCAAATGATTTGTGGGAAATTTCATTTCAATGCGACCTGTACTTTTTTTTACAAAAATACATGGACGGACGGACATTCATAAATCGATTTAGAATGTGATTTTATGAAGATCATCAATATGTGTTACGAACAAATGCACAAAGATGTAATACCCTGTACCACAGTGTGGTGTCGGATATAAAAACGTCACTTATCTCCCTTGTACTTGCCAATAAGGTTCAAGATTCTAACTTTTACTTTTTCTTTGGACCTTCATGTGCCCATCGGCCACTCATCATTAAACTTGAGAGAGGAGGCTTTTTTTCTCTACATGAATAACCTTTGTAAATGAACAAAAATAATGTTCTACGTCCAGTATTTTGCACTCAGCTCTAAAAATCTATACCACCACAAAATCAAACAAGTAAAAAAGCAACTAAGTTCGACCAGTTCGAACTTTTAATACCCTCCACCATTTGAAAGGAACTTAAAAATTAAAAAAAAAGTCGAAAAATACTGTTTTAATGAAAATCGTTATGTGGTGGCTATACGAAGACGAGGACCTGCATAAGTAATTTGTTGTCGTCCCGATTCCGAACTGCCAATACGAAATTTAAAAGAATTCCGGTGAATAATGCCGCTAATATCATTAAAATACCGAATAGCTTCCGAACGAAATGAAGTAGTACTCAAATGAATATTATGTCTGTAGGATTTTTGGTATTTTTGGCCCATGTAGGTCCACGTTTTGGTACATCCCTCATATAGTGGTACCTCCCGATATTCTGTATTTTTATGATTTTAGCTACATTATTCGCCGGAATTGTTTCACATTTGGTATTTGAAGTTCATAATGGATACTACAGCCTATGACAGAAAATTGTCTGTGCAGGTCCACGTCTTCGAATAGCCCCCATTTAACGATACCTCCCGTAATTCGGTATTTTGATGATTTTAACGACATTATTAACCGGAATTGTTTCAAATTTGATATTTGAAGTTCGTAATTGATACTACAGCCTATGACAGAAAATTGTTTGTGCAGGTCTACGTATTCGTATAGCGCCCATATAACAGTACCTCCCTATATTCGGTATTTTTATGATTTTGGCGACATTATTAACCGGAATTGTTTCACATTTGGTATTTGAAGTTCGTAATGGATACTACAGCCCATGACAGAAAATTGTCTGTGCAGGTCCACGTGTTCGTTTAGCGCCCATTTAACGCTACCTCCCTATTTTCGGTATATTGGTGATTTTAGCTACATTATTCACCGATTTTTTTATTAAATTTTCGCGTTTGAATATTGCAATGGCTTATGACAAAAGTTAGCTATGCAGGTCCATGTCGTCGTATAGACCCTAATATAACAGCTACATTTGGTATTTTTAAGATTTTAACAGAATTTTTAACGGATGTAATTTTTTTTTTGGAAAATTGCCAAATTCGTCCCAAATGGTGGAGGGTATTCAAAGTTCGGCCCGGTCGAACTTACAGCTTTTTACTTGGTTCTAAAAGATTCTTATTGTTATATTTATCATGTATTATCTATACTGTTATATTATCTTATATATCTAATAAGTATTCATTTCAATTTACCCTCGAGATTTTTGTAATTGTCGTTGATGGCTTTCCACTGAGCAACCATGTTTGAGGTAATGTTGAGAGTTCCAATAAATTAATATACGAAAAAAATCACAGATCAATATTACAAAACTATATGTATATATAGATAGGTAGGTAGATGTGTTCGTTCTACACTCTATTCTGGTGTTGGGGTGGTGGCGTTCAATGTTAGCTTATTTACAAAGGGTTTTTCTCGTTTTTGTTTTCTACTTTTGCACTGGAGATTAATACGTCAATTAGCACCACCAGCGTTTTTTACGAAATTACCGAACCGAAAACGTCTGCCACTTCTGCAACTAAACTAACGTTTTCACTTATTTTCTCTAAACTTGTGGCAATGCGAAAATTTTCCTTTCGCAGATTTTTTTTTCGCTATACTTGCGTTGCGTTGGATCACTTTGATTTGATATGCTTTTCTAAATTATATTTGCTATAAAGAATTTGATATTGATTTTTGCCTTTGTTTTTTGGAGAAACAAAATTATTCTATATTCTTATTTTCGTCGTTTTATCGCTATTTTTGCACCAATTTTTCTTTTTATGTATTCAGCGCGTTTGTATCGTTGGTCGTAGATCGTTGAAACTGGCGTTTGTTTCGATTGGAAGAGGTGAGCATTCCGCAAAGCACTCATTCGCGATGATCTGGCTGATAGTTTGCTTAGTCATTTGGTTTGCGAGGAGCACAACAACATCGGAAAAATTGAGAGCTTTTCAAAAGACCAAGGCAATGAGTATCTCGTTCATAATAATGACCATGCAAATAATGGGGATAAGACCACACAATGTTTCTCATTTCTAAAATTAAAATCAAAAACACGTAAATATTTCACTCAATTTTAGCTGGCCACCCCACCCCAGATCCCCCTCCTCCCTTTTCCACACCATTAGTGTGTCATGTTTTTAAAAAATAGAATTTGTCAAAAGTTTAGCTATTTTGCCATTTTAATGTGACATTGAAAGAATTAGTTTGCCTTTGAATGTTGTCCATATAGACGATGATTACTACCTGAGCGACTCAGAAGTTTTATAGCTTTTTATTCGATCGATATGTTTGAACGGATGATCGATGTGTGGGTGGGTGAATCTGATCATTATATTATTCGTTGCTCTACCTTTGGTCATTGTTTGATATGTTCCCCTGAAATGTTGTCAAACGAATATGCCATAGGCAACCAATGTCCAGGTGAAACGTTTCAAGGAAGTAAGTAGCCAAAAGAAAATAACTCATTACAAATCGGAAAACTAGTGCATTATTTTAGCGAGGGCGTGCCAATCCAAAATATGTAGTTACTCTTTGGTCATAACTATGACGTCCAATAAGTACTTATTCTGTGTTGAGGATGGAAAGGCTTCCAAGCAATAACTGTAAAAATATCAAACGATTTGGGTTTTAAGTCCCTTACATTCGCAATATGCATTTCAGAACAATGATATTTGGTACCAGTTATCAGATACAGTATAGAAATACCTCTGCCAAATTTTATCGATTCTGGTTAAGATATAGCTTACATATACAGGATGAGATGAAAAAACTGCAACCAATTTCAGACTGCTGTCATTTTAAAGCTAATCGTCCGACAGCTGTTATAATTATTCCAGTAACAGCACATTGTATTGTTTACAAGCGTACAAAAGCATTTTGGTGAGAATCTTCCAGAAAAAAGTTAATCGTGATGGATAGTGTGATTTCTTAATAGAAATCACAAGTGGCTATGCTTAGACCACTCCAGCATTTAAATGTAAATAAATCTCTTGTGTCTCGTACCATCGCTCGTCAAGGGAGTGGACGGAAGAAACCGCAACATCAGCAGAAATGGTTCGAAAAGTAACGAAGCGACTTGATCGAAACCCTTGTTGCAGTGACCGAAAAATGGCTCGCGAGCTGGACATATCGCAATATTCCATTCGTCAAATATTGAAAAATGAGCTCGGGGTAAAGCCATTGAAATTCCAAAAAGTGCAAGAACTTACATCGCAACAGAAAGAAAATAGACTCAGAAGAGCTAAAGAGTTGCTTCGCTTGGCCGAATGTGGTGAACTGCCGAATTTGGTTTTCTCCGATGAGAAAACATTCGTTGTCCTGCAGTTTGTAAACAAACAAAATGAACGTGATTACTTGCCAAAGAGGTTAGCTGAAAATGTGTACATTCGGTTGACCACCAGAACTCAAGCGCCGGCCATGGTGATGGTGTGGGCCACCATAACAGCTAATGGTCGCTCTCCGCTCGTATTAATCGACCATGGCATCAGAATAAATTCCGAATATTATCGCGAAAATATTTTGGAGGGTGTATTAAAGCCTTGGGTACGCAAACATTTTGGACGCAGTCTTTGGACATTCCAAGAGGACTCGGCACCATCGCATTCAGCACACTCCACCCAAGAATGGTAACAAAATGAGGTTCCTCGCTTCATTTTCAGCGCACAATGGCCACCAAAATCTCCGGATACCAATACTATTGTGTCTGGAGTGTTTTGGAAAGTAAGGTTGGCATAGGAAATACCAAGGTGTCGATCACCTCAAGCAAGCGCTTCACCGGGAATGGGTCAAAATACCGCAGAGCAACATACGGGCAGCGTGTGACAGTTTGATTGGTTGTTTGAAGGCCTAATTCGTGCCAAAGGTGACCAATTCGAACAAATCTAAACTTATTCGAAAATTTGATGCTATTTCCGACATGTTTTGCTTTTATTCAAAAAAATTAAAAAATGTAAAAAATATGGCGCTTTCAGCTTTTTTTATCTCACGCTGTATTTCTATCAACACAATACCAGGTATGAAGATGGAATATGTCGGACCACTCCTTCTGGTACCTCCCACATAAATTTTTGAATAACTTTATCTCTCATTAAATGAGAAATAAGCATCAGATTCTCATTTTCCAAAAATTATCACATATCTCGTAAGGTTCAGACACGTTGTTATAGATATTTCAGATTAGTTCAGACGAGAAGTGGACGATATTTCTCCACTCCTTCTGTATATCCTCCATAAATGGTCAACAAAATCATAATATTAGTCAAAACATACCTTAAACTACCATAGGCTTAGGGTATACATCTGTCGGTAAAACCTGACTGACCTGAAAGACTGAAACTTTTTAACTTGTTTTTATACCCTACACAAAACTGTGGTTAGGTTATAATGTCTTTGTGCATTTGTTTGTGACTTGGGGAAGGAAGCGAGATAGACTTACAGTAACTTTTGTGAATCCTCATAGAATCGCTTCCTAAGTCTATTTATGCATGTCAATCCGTCTGTCCGACTGTCCGTGTATTCTTGTGAACAAAATACACACCGCATTTATTATCCGATTAAGATGAATTTTTCCAAAAACATTTGTTTGGCCCAATGACGAACCCCATTGAAATTGATAATTGTATCAGATCTAGCCACCATATATCTTCAAACGATTTCGATTTAATTGTACACCAAATGGCCAATATGAACCCAAAAAATGACCTGAATTTTGGCACATCCAACCGAATTCAGTTTACATCAAATTTGATGGAAATCGGTTCAGATATAGCTATAGCTCTCATATATATGTTTCATTCGATTTGGTGTTAAAGTCCCTCACATTCGTAATATGCACTCTACAACAATTATATTTGATACCGGGCATCAGATACTGCTCGAAAATACCTTTGCCAAATTTATTGAGATCGGTTCAGGACTTTAGGTGGCTTCGATATACATCTTCATCCGATTTTACGGATATTACTCCCCATATATGCAATATCAGCCCAACTGGAATAGAATTATTTAACGAAATTTTACCATGAGGTGAAACGCGGTCCGGAATATATTTGGTTCCAATAAATAGTTTTTATTGGAGTCATATCATGCAATGTTATTTGGTTCATAGCTGGTATGATCTACTTCACATAAATTCCCAATATAAACTTTTTTGTTACGGAAGCTCTAATAAATACGCATAGTGTTGCCATATATGTATTATATAGTCGGCCCGGTCGACTTTTGACCTTTCTTTACTTCTTTTAATTTTTGAAATTCGAACTAGAAATACTAAAAACCACTATATTTGGTATAATTTGGTATTATTCGACCGGATAGAGCTAAAATTTGACTTGGGGAACAAGGTTTAACGAAAGGAGTTTGTTTTTGAAATTTATAAAAAGTATATGAATTGTGCTTAAGTATACTAAATTTAGTATAATTTGGATTTGGATGAACGGGTGGAGCTGGAAATCTGAAATGTTGTTATTGAAGTCCCTCTGTTAGTATAATGGTTGATATTTAAGGTAAATTTGGAAATAAGTATTAAAAAGTTCGAAAATTAAAAAATGGTATTAAATTTGGTATATGCGAAATGAATAGAGCTGGAAATCTGAAATTTGGTAGTAGGGTCTCTTTGGTATTGGTATGAAAACCAAGTTTACAACTGTTTATATAACTGTGTTAATAGGTACCAAATTTGGTACAATTTGGTTTTGAAAAAATAGAAAAAAGTAAGGTGAATAGGGAAACCTGTAATAAAACATGTACTAAAAGTACATGATAAGACGATAATTAATTAAATTTGGCATAGAGTGTAATAACAGAACTGGAGTTGTGAATTTTAGTTTTAGGATCACTGTGTCTGTGTAGCTTTTATATAGTTAGGTCGAATTAAAATTACATACTAAAATGTGTACGAATAGTGAAATATATGAAAAATATATATTTTTTATAGCACGCATTTGAAAAACCTCCTCCAGATACCAACATAGATCTCAATATCAAATTTTGAATTCCAGCTCTGTAAGTTCCCTCCATTACCAAACTTAGTACAAAACAAGCTCCTTCTCTCAGCCACGGACACCAATAGTGACATCTATATCAAATTTTATAATACCAGCTCTATCCCTACACCCAATACCAAATTTGGTACTTTTCGTACAATTATAGTACACATTTCCAAAGCACCTCCATATCTCAATTCCAGATACCAACAGAGACTTTAATATCAAATTTCGGAACTTCAGCTCTATCCCTTCACCCAATATTTAATTTAGTACCAGTATCAGCTCTACCCCTACAACCAATACCAAATTTGGTACTTTTCGAAAAATTATAGTACACCTTTCCAAATCCACCTCCAAACCTTTACCGCAGACACCAACGTTGACATCTATATAAAATTTCAGGATTTAAGCTCAATTTCTTCACTCAATACCAAATTTAGCACTTTTCGTACAATTATAGTACAAATTTCTAAAACCACCTCCACCTCAATATCAAATTTGAGGATTTCAGTGCAATCTTTAACACAATACTCTTTAGTACTTTTCGTATAAATATAGAACGCATTTTCAAACCACCGCCAAATCTCAAACACAGATGCCATCAGTAATCTAATCATCGAATTTCAGAATTTTATCTCTATCCCTTCAACCACGACCAAATTTGGTACCATTAAGAACCTTTCATATAATTATAGTGCACATTTCCCAAAACCATCTACACATGAAATGCGACCCGAAAAAAAATTTCAAGCATTATCTGCTCACCCAATACCAAATTGTATCAATAAAGTACTATATAGTACTTTTCGTGTACTTGCACTCACATTTCCATATGGTCAGACTGCACATTAAAATCGACCCTTATACCAAATTGTGTCAAATGCAGTACTGTTAAATACTTTTCGT